GGATCGGGTCCTCCATCAGGCTCCCCGCATGGAGCCTGCTTCTCCCTCTGCCTGTGTCTCTGCCTCTCTCTCTCTCTCTCTTTCTCTGTTTCTCATGAATAAATAAATAAAATCTTTTTTAAAAAATGGACTTCGACTCACGAGGTGTTTGGGGGCCAAGACCTTAGAAGTCCGCTCTTGAACCTCTTGTCTGTCCCCCATCACGCCAGCACCTCCTCGGCTTGAATGCTGCCATTGACGAGAAAGCTCATCCCTCTGCAGCCCGGGCACTTGTGCTGTGGCATCAGGCAGTTAGTGGATGAGCTAGAGCTAATGTTCCAGCTCCTGAAGTTGAATTGTTCCTGGGGAAACAAGGTCACCTCTGTGCCACCAATTCCATAGCACAGTTTCTTTTGTCTCAGGAATGACTGCTTGTGGAGGCAGGAGGATGCGTGTCCATCCATGTGAGGGACTTTCTCACATGCCATGGTAGTGTAGTCCAGATGATTCTGTGGCTTCCTAGCTGATCACTGCGGGTCTCTGTCGGGGAAATGGGGCCTGGAGTCCTTGATCCCTCTGTGGGAAACCGTGCATCTCTCTCCCTGTCTGGGAGGCCGTGTCTGGGATGCTCTGGCAGAGAGTGGAGTGGATGAACGGGGATCCAAGAGCAAGGGAGGGAGAGCGTGGGGCATGCTCTGGCTCTCAGGGCAGCTGTGAAGAGACAGGAAGGCAAACTGATGAGGAGCACATGTCAACTGCTGCCACTTAGCAGAGGTCAACCATCCTCCTTGGAAGTGGACGCAGTAAGGCCTGGATCTTTTTTTTTTTTTTTTTAAGATTTTATTTATTCACGAGAGACACACAGAGACACACAGAGAGAGAGGCAGAGACACAGGCAGAGGGAGAAGCAGGCTCCGTACAGGGAGCCTGACGGGGCACTCGATCTCAGGTCTCCAGGATCACGCGCTGGGCCGAAGGCAGCACTAAACCGCTGAGCCACCCGGGCTGCCCTGGGCCTGGATCTCAGGGCTTGTTGGGTGCCTACTGCCTCAGGGGTGCTTTGAAATGTTAACAAGCAGCAGCAAAGGAGAAGGTGAAAGAGGACCTATGTTTGGTGGGGAATATTCTTCCCTCAAATTAGGGTTTTCTTTTTTAATTTTCCTCCAAGAGCCACTCTCACACTCTGGCAGAAACTTATGGAGCGCCTTTCCAGAATGTTTTCAGGTGCACAAACTATGGGATTACAGAGGAAGTGAGTCGTATTCGGAGAGCAGAAACACTACAAAACAAGTTGGTGGTGTAGTAACACATGTCGGTTATTATTTTATTGACAATATAACCTATGACCTTGTTAGGGAGATCTCAAGGATGATGAGGCAGGGCTGGAGGGAGAGAGGGAGCCCTTTCCAGACCCGAGGTTAAATTTTATTTTATAAAGACACAACAGTGACAGGGCTGCTGTCGCTCTGCTTGGATGGGGGCATTGAGCTGGAGTGTGCCTTTGATGGGCACCCGTCCGCACCATGGACACCAGACAGTCCTGATTGTCCTTTTGGTCTCTGGTGTCGAGAACCCCAGTTTGCAAATGGCACAGCAGCATCTTTATAGCTCGCTTTGCGCAGTGAGGTTATGCTTTGTTCTCATGTCCTCGAAATTCACCGGCTCGTAAGGTCACTTGATTGTGAGAGCCTGGGGGGCTCAGGACCACCGGGCACATAGTTTCCCAAAGTTGGTCAGTCATGTCACCCCAGTGCCTGTGGGCAGGGCCCCGGGTCCCTGTGGTTTCAGAGGAGGGATGTGTGCAAGCCATGTTTCCAGACATCTGCACAACAGCAGTGTGAAAAAGGGCCTGTGGGGATCCCTGGGTGGTGCAGCGGTTGGGCGCCTGCCTTTGGCCCAGGGCGCGATCCTGGAGACCCGGGATCGAATCCCACGTCGGGCTCCCAGTGCATGGAGCCTGCTTCTCCCTCTGCCTGTGTCTCTGCCTCTCTCTCTCTCTCTCTCTCTCTGTATGACTATCATAAATAAATAAATAAAAAGAAAAAAGAAAAAGGGCCTGTGAGCTCTAGGGACCACGTCCCAGGCCCTGGGGTGCAATGGGGATGATGGCCTTCACTTGTGATCGAAGGAAGTTCTGGACCAGCATAATTGCTTACAAACCATCCAGGTTCCATGGACCCCTTCTTTCAGTCTCCCCATCTCCCACCCTGCCCTCCCCACTCTCCCCTCAAGCAGAGGTTTGAGCACTAGGGACATTGGGCATTGACCGCCAGGACCTCTAGTCTTAGGAGTCAGATCCGATTGAATCTGGAAGAAGCTGTTGGACCGTCCCATCCCTACTGCCATTTTACAGCTGCAGATGTGGGGAGGATGAGGCCCCTGTGCTGGCGAGGCTCACTCCAGGCAGGGTGGAGAATGGTTTTCAGGATGGGGGGAGATCTGCAGAGTGGGAGGCCTGGGGATCCCGGGGCTTCACCCTCTAGACAGTTTGGAAGCTGGTCAACTTTCAAAGGAGATTGTCCTTCCCCCACCCCTGTAGCCTGCAGCTGTGCACATGTGTATTGTCTCCCAGCTGTCCTTACAGGGCCCAGCTGGGGCCTGTTGTCGCCTGTGGAGCCTGTGAGAAATGGGGGTGGCTGGAGCTGGAGCTGTGGGGGTATCAGCCGTAGCTCGATCCGGGGGGGGGGGCAGGACGTGGCCAGGGCTGGGCAGCTGTGATCCACTGCTGCCTTCTGTAGGCCCTTCCCACGTCCTGTCCTTCCTACCCTCACTTGGGGTGGCTTCCCGTGCTCCTGTTCATGGAGGAGACTGTACTCGTCCATTCCTCCTTGGGCCAGGCTGCTGAGAGGGGTCTGGGGAACTTTGGTGAGCTGTGTTGGGAGCCTGCCAAAGCCAGTGAAGTGGAGAAAAGTTTCTGGCTCTGCTGTGGCAGGCTGGGGCCCACTGTGGAGCCCTTCGTGCTCTCCGAGCAGCCTGTGTTTCTGTTTGGGAACAGAGGCTCATTCCCTTCACCTTTGTCAGAGATGGAGAGGGGGAGGGAGGGAGAAATTGGATGGGCTCTGGTGGGGCTCTTATAAACACAAGGTGTGCATGTTGACAGAGCTGTCACATGGCTGCTGGGAGATCTCAAGGATGATGAGGCAGGGCTGGAGGGAGAGAGGGAGCCGTTTCCAGACCCGAGAAGGACAGGTTGGGGAAGGTTCGAGGAGGGGTGGGTGAGTCTAGTCATCTGTCTCAGCGGCTCTGGGGACGGGGAGCCCGAGTCCTCAGGGCCTGGGGGAGAGAAGGCACAGTGTGCTCAGCCTTCACACTAACACACTGACCCTGCCTCTGCCACCCACTTCCCAAGGTGCTGCTGCTGGTGTGGAGAGGGAGGGCTGGGGAGCGTGGCTGGAGCAGACCGTCCCCAGCACACGGAGCAGCTCACACCGGGCCAGTGGCCACTGAGGGATGGTCATGTCCTGGTGTTTCTGCAGTGCAGAGATGTCAGGGTGCAGATGGAGCCGGGGATGGGCGGGCCGGGTGGGCCCCTCCTGTCCTGATCCTAGATCATCGGGGTCGACTGGGGCCAAGGGCCGCTGGACCCTCAGAGCCCTGGAGCCTGTCTCTGCCCGTTGTCACCCTTCCCTTGGGCCCCGAGGAACTCCCAGCCCCTTCCTTTCTCCCCAGGGCTGGTCCTCCGACCCCGGCCAGTCCTCCTCACGCCCTCCAGCAGCTCCTCACTGGTCTCTGGCTATTTCCCCAGATGTTCTCTTATTTGTCCTCAGTAGGGTTTAACTTTATTACCTAGTGTTCAGGGGAGAAAAAGCAAAAGGAGAAGTTAGAAGTGTACTCTTCACATGGTGATAACTCACATTAGCCTCTTGTGTCCCCCAGACTTTTCTCTGATACGTTTCCATGAATTAAAAAGGGACTGTAGCCTCTTCTTGCCCTGCAACCTGTTCCTTCTAGCCCTGTGTCCTTGAGGTCTTTTCAAATCCATCACTGTGGTATTTTTAATGGCTGTTTAGCCTTTCACCTTAGTGATGCCCCCTCCTTTATTCAGCAAAGCCCCTGTTGTTGGCTGGAGGTTGTTCCCGGGGTTTTGCCATCCTAAATAACACTTCCAGCAACCACACACCCTGGAAGCCTGATTTTTGCATGCATCCTTAAGTATTTCTCTGGGAGGGGAGACCACTGTGGGGTGGGGATTACTGCGTCCACCAGGGTGCCCAGCCTGCCTCACATGGGTGGAAGGTTCGGCTGTTGGTGATATCGATGATGGTGATGGCAAATTCGGGGGCCTGGTGCTTTCACTGAACCCTTGGATGTCTCTGGCCTCATTTCGTGAGATTTGTGGCTAGCATGTCCTCCAGCATCCTGTTCCCATCCACATTCTCTCTCTCTCTTTTTGAAGATTTATTTATTTTAGAGCAAGAGAGAGAGGCAACAGGCAGAGGGAGAGGAGAGCAAGGATCTCAAGCAGACTCCCTGCTGAGTGCAGAGTCTGACCCTGGACTCAATCTCATGACCCTGAAATCATGACCTGAGTTTGAAATCGAGTTGGACACTTAACCACCTGAGCCACCCAGGCACCCCACATCCACACTCTTCAGAGCCAAGCCTGACTTCCCTTTGCACCTGCCCTAGGTCTTTGCACTCCTCCCCGTCAGCGGGGTTTGGCTTCTGGGTGGCCTGATCCAGTCACTTACAGCCCTAGGTCCTGACCAGGTGTGGAGGGTTAACCCCTTTCTGACAGTCATATTTTTGCCAGGAGAGTATGACTATAAGGGGTCAGGGCTGTGTCTTTGTGTCTCTTCATATCCATGACCCTCCGAAAACAGCAGCAAAGGGCCAGGCCCATAGCAGGCCCTCATGAACACGTGGTAGGCCACATACCTGCCCTGTCTCCAGCTACAGGTCAGCTGGCCCTTTCTGGGTCTCAGACTTGGTATCTGTGCAGCGGAGGTGGAGGGGGCCAGGTCCCTTCCTGCCCTGGATTTTCCTACCCCTTCCTCTACCACATGCTTCTTGTTCCACAGGTTTGGGGTCCTGAGGCTGCCGGCAGACTATGGGTACAACGGCCAGTACCGCCCAGCAGACAGTTTCGGCGGGCGCCCCCTTTGAGGGCCTCCAGGGCGGAGGCACGATGGACGGTCCGCACTCACTCAGCGTCCACTCCTTCCAGAGCACAGGCTTGCACAACAGTAAGGCCAAGTCCATCATCCCCAACAAAGTGGCCCCCGTCGTGATCACGTGAGTGGCGGGGGTGGGGTGGGGCTGTGACCATGTCCCTAGAAGACAGGGTTGGGGCAGCGGCCTGGAGGAGGGGTGGCACCCAGCACGTAGCCTGCAAACCGCTTTCCTAGATGAAGATCCTGAGGCCCAGAGAGGTTAAGCAGTTTGTCTGGAGTAACGCAGCAAGTGAGTGGCTGAGTGGGTCTCTAGGCTCATGTTACTTATGGGCATGAGGACATGAGGCATGGAGAGGGAGGAGTGGCTGGTGGGGGGACGCCCTTTTGAAAATAATTTTTGGCCCAACATTTTCAAAGGGAGTTTATATACTTGGATGTATAAAGCTTAGATTTTTATTTTTCACAACCAGTAATTATGGCTTGAAAGTGAGGTTAATACCAGGTCGTTAAAGAGCTGTGAGCTGAAAAAGCTGGAAGCTGTTGGTTACCTCTCTTAATTAAGTCCTTGAGGTGGATCCCTGGGTGGCGCAGCGGTTTGGCGCTTGCCTTTGGCCCAGGGCGCGATCCTGGAGACCCGGGATCGAATCCCACGTCGGGCTCCCGGTGCATGGAGCCTGCTTCTCCCTCTGCCTGTGTCTCTGCCTCTCTCTCTCTCTATCTCTCTGTGACTATCATAAATAAATAAAAATTAAAAAAAAAATTAAGTCCTTGAGGGACGAGGAGGCTGAGGGTTTGTTCTGACACTGTATTTGAGACAGTGCACTACATGCACCCAGAGGAAAGGGGTCCGGAAGGGGGCTCTGCAACCCTGTCTGCCCTTATGGGGTCAGTCAAGGAGGGGCTGCTGGGAGCCGGAGGCCAGGAGGACAAAAGAAGCATTGGCTGTGTCTCCTGGTGAATGGAGAAGCCTTATCTTCTGTTGAATCTGCCTCTGGGCCCCTCCTGGACGCAGGAAGTAGGACACGGTGAGCTAAGAATGAACTGTGTTCCACACATGGAAGTTTGGCAGAGACCTAGTAGACGGGACTTTCTGTGTAAGGAGACCTGAGGGCCGGGAATGATAAATCTGCCTTTTGGCTTTGAGGCCTGGCAGGAAAATTAGAGTCCTAATCCATTACTGTGCTCCTGATAAGGGGAAGAGAAGAGACCTGATATGTATTCCCTCTCCCAGGGATGACACATCTAGGTTTGGCCCCCCGAGAGCGGTGTTGAAGACACTGGTCCTGGGCCTGGCTTTGTGACCTGGGGCAAATCCTCTTCCCTCTCTGGGTCTCATTTTTCTTAGCAGATTATGTGGGGATGACTTGCAAGATATTTAACCAAGTGCTGTGGCTCAGAACAGTCACGGGGCTGCTGAAGAAATCTGCCACAGTGGGACTGTGTGTGTCTCCTGGATCCAGCATGAGTGCAGTACCCCTGGGGTTGCAGCATGGGTGCGGGGAAGAGACCTTAGAGATCACCCAACATGGGGTTTGGCAAACTGTATCCTACAGACCCAATCCCGCCTGGCATCTGTTTTTGTAAATAAAGTTTTATTGGGACACTGCCAGTCCTATTCACTTATATGCTATCCGTGGATACTTAACACCTCAGTAGCAGACTTGTAGTTGCAACAGAAGCTGTATGGCTCCCCAGCCAAAATTATTTACTATCCAGTTCTTGTTATCAAAGGTTTTCTGACTCCTCATCTTATACGTCTTAGATCAGATGTGAAAACTGGATCTGAGCACACAAACTGGAACTCCTGGGGTAGAGGGATTTGCACACCACGTGACGAGATGGAGGCAGAGCTGTTAGCGGGACCCCAAGTCTCTTGACTCCTCGCCTAGTGCTCCCCTGTCCCACTCATTCCACCACCTGGCCTTCCCTAGACGCAGGGAGCAGAGGAGCAGACACCAGAGAAGTGCGAGTGTCTTATCCATTTGTTACAATCGGCACAGAAGCTTGTCGTGTCTTGAGCGCACAGACCCACCCTGGTTTAGCATCTGCAGAACTCTAGTTTCGTACCTCTTAGTTTTGTTTGAAATGGCCCTGTGTAGAGGTAGCATTGCTACTAGTAAAAGTAATTCTATTAATAAACCCTGTGCCCAAGGCCCTTGGCTAAGCGCTTACGTTCAGCCGTGCCTTGAATTCTCACAGCCGCCCTGGGAGGTGAGGATTACTGGAAACGGAGCCACAGAGAGTTGAGTAACTCCAAAGCCACAGGGTTGCCGAGTGCTGGAGCTGGGTTCGTGCCCAGGTCACACACCCCCGAAGCCTGTGTCCTGAGCCACCTCACTGTGCTGTGGGATTCTCAGTGTGGCGTTGTTCTGAGAGACAATCTGATGGAAGGGTCACTTGGGACCCAAGTAACCCTTGAATAGGAGGCCTTAAACAAGACCAAAGCTTCTCTCTACACTAGAGTCCAGGAGGTGCTCCAGCCTGGAATGGTGGCTCTGGGTCAGCCAGGCCCCTCCTCTCTTGTCTCCCCACCATCATCAGCATCTACTTCTTGCCATCACTTCTGGGTGCTAGCCAGGGAGAAGGAGAGAAGAAGGCACCCACCTTTTCTTTAGCGAATGGCCCAAAAGTTGTACACATAGCACTTTTCCTCATATCCCATTGGCTAGAACTTTTTTCTTTTTAGAGATTTTAATATATTTGAGAGAGAGCAATAGAGGGAGAGGGAGAGAGAGAAAAAGAGAGAGAGAGAGAAAGAGAGAGAGAGAGAGAGGAAGGGTATACAGAGGGAGAGGGAGAAGCAGACATTCTGCTGAGCGGAGAGCCCTGTAGGGGCTTGATTCCAGGACCCTGAGATCATGACCTGAGCCCAAGGCAGATGCTTAACTGACTGAGCCACCCAGGTGTCCCTCCATTGGCCAAAACGTAACCATATGACCATCCTATAGCTGCAAGGGAGGCTGGGAAATATAGTTCCCCGCTGGATGGCCCAGTCACAATTGCAGGGTTCTGTTCTTGAAGGAGAGGGTGGATGTTGAGGACAGCAGGCCATCTCTGCCACAGAGGGGTGGTCCAGGGCCTGGGAAGGGTGGGGTGGCCCTGCTGTGGGGTCTGGTGAGGATGGGGGTTAGTCAGATCGTGAAGGTTTCCTGACTTGGGCTCTGTTCTGCCCTGGCAGGTATAATTGCAAGGAGGAGTTCCAGATCCATGATGAGCTGCTCAAGGCCCATTACACGCTGGGCCGCCTGTCAGATGCCACCCCTGAGCACTACCTGGTGCAGGTGAGGTCAGCCCGGGCCCTCCCCCTTCAGGCTCTCCCACCCCTTCCCATCCTCCTGCCTCCCAGGGTCCCTCCCTCCTGCTTTCCCCGCTGGCTCCTCCCTTCTCTGCTTCTGCTCTCACCCCACCCTCTGGGGCCCTTATCCACTTCCTCCCACGCCCTGGTTTCTGGGGGCCACTCCCCCTGCCCGTGGAGTCCCCGGCTCTTCTCTTCTGGCAGGACACTGCCTGGCCCCAGCCTGCCCCCACCACACCCTCTGAGCAGCAGGAAGAACAGAGACAGGGTCCCAGCCTGCTCCCCCCAGCCTGGGGATCTCCATCCCAGTCTCTGAGTCCCAGAACTTCTCTGGCTTAGCTGTTTTTTCCCCTCACCTCTACCCTAGAAAGTGAAGTCTCCAAGCACAGATGACTTTTACTCTGTGGTCAGTGCGTCCATCCACGCCAGCCGGGGAGGGAGGAGCTCCGTCCCTCGTCAGAGCTCCAGGGCCTCAGGAAAGGGCTAGTGCAGGATTCCTCTAGCTGATTCCTGAGGCCCCAGTTGTGATCCCTACTTGGCCCTTTCTCCAAGCCCTTTCTCTGGCCAAGGGAGACATTTGCCTTCTTCGTGGAGAGCTTCGGGCCCCAACCTAGGGCCAGCCTCAGTCTCCTTCCTCTGGAGTGCCTCTCCCTGGTCTCTTCTCAAGGCCTGGCTCTGATGCTGCCTCCTGTGTGAAGCCTTCTCTGATTCCCCACCAGGAGGAACTGTTTTTCCCTTTCCCATGCTAAATGACACCTTTCTTGGGATCACAGATGGTCATGTATTTTGTTTGTTTTTTTTTTGAAAAGCTTACAGACAGTTTGAAGAGCATGTCCCCTGCCCCATCTCTCTGCTCCCCATCCTCTGGGGCCTGGGATAGAACTCCACCTACGAAAGATGTCCCTGAGCCATCTGAGTAACCCCCTGTGGCTCTCCCCCTGCCAGGGACGCTACTTCCTGGTGCGGGATGTTGCTGAGAAGATGGATGTGCTGGGCACTCTGCGGGGCTGTGGGGCCCCCAACTTTCGGCAAGTGCAGGGTGGGCTCACCGTGTTTGGCATGGGACAACCCAGCCTCTCTGGATTCAGGCAGGTTCTCCAGAAACTCCAGAAGGACGGACACAGGGTAAGTAGCGCTGCTTCCAGGCAGGATCCGGCCCCCCAAATCTGGCACAGGGGCTTCCGGGAGGGCCCTGGCCACATGATAGGGAGGGTGGCTGGGGACGCAGACTGGGCTCTGCTGGGCATTGAATGCCGTGATGATCATTGTGGTCGGCATGGTTGAGATTCTGGGCCAATATTTATTGCCATGTCATTTGTGGCTATGGGGGCCCTAAGGTCAGGAGCCCTTATACACCTAACTTTGAGAACCTCGGAGAAGTCAGAAGGGTGACAGTGACAAGAGGGGACAGGTGATAACGAGAGAGCCACAGCATGATGACCAGAGCTGACATATGCTTGTGTCAACCCTATGAAGGCAGGGCAGTTCCTCCCATTTCAGAGGAAGAACATAGGCCCAGAGAGGATGAATGACTGGTGTCAGCTTATGAGGCCCAGCTTATGAATGGTGTCCCAAGACCCAAACTAGGCATCTGGACTCTAAATGCATATTTTTTTAAAAAATTTTATTTATTCATGAGAGAGACAGAGAGAGAGGCAGAGACATAGGCAGAGGGAGAAACAGGATCCCTGTGGGGAGCCTGATGCGGGACTCCATCCCAGGACCACAGGATCATGCCCTGAGCCCTGAGCCAAAGGCAAACGCTCAACCACTGACCCCCCGGGCATCCCTAAACGCCTACTTTTAATGTCTGCTCTTTCCTGCCTGATGCTGAGGTGGGGTTTTGAGTGTTTGCAGGGTGGAGGCTGAGGGCCCGCTGTGATTGCAGGCTCAGTGTGGGCAGCCCACGCCTGATTTGACCTGAGGTTTAGCTGGAGAGTTCTCAAGTGAACCAGAGTGGGGTGGGGTGTTAGCTCTGTGCAGGTCCTGTCTTCTCAGCCCGACAGCAAGTTCCACAGGGAAGGGTCTGCCCACATACCTCTCTGGGTGTAAGGTGCTCAGTGAATGAATGATTGCATCATGGTGGTGGACATTCATTTCTTCACCTGGTGTCTGTCAAGCACTTGATTGATCCAGCGTTTCGTGCTAGGACTAGTGGGATGTGTAAGGAACCTGTAGTCCATGAAGGGAGATGTACTCACTGATCATGTTAGTATGAAGCAGGAGTTACCACCATGAGCTTTGGACAAAGGGCTGTTGGCCCCGAGAAGAGGGAGAGTCGCGGGCAGGTGGCATTTGCACTGAGCTTTGCTTATTGGGCAGGATTCATGTTGCAGGGACCGGGCGGGGTGACAGGTGCTCAACGAGGGGGGAGCAGCCTGTACAAAGGCCCAGAGCTAAGAAGGTCGAGCGTCCGTGCTGGACAGTGGTGACAGCTTCTTCCGCCTTGGGCTCCTGGCAGGGGTGCATCATCTTCTGTGTGCGGGAGGAGCCCGTGCTCTTTCTGCGCGCCGACGAGGACTTCGTGCCCTACACACCCCGAGATAAGCAGAATCTTCACGAGAACCTCCAGGGCCTTGGACCCGAGATCCAAGTAGAGAGCTTAGAGCTGGCCATCCGGAAAGAGGTGAGGGTCACTGATGTGGGTGGGGGGGCCCCCCTTTGCTGGCAGGCCGCGGGCAGCTCATCGGCCCTCACTGGCCCATGCCCACTCACATCCCTCCCCGGCTTGGGCGAGCAGCTGGCTGGAAGGCCAGCTCGTGGGAAGCCAGAGGAAGGACATTTTTTTTTTTTAAGATTTTATTTATTTATTTGACAGGGAGGTATAAGCAGGGGGTCGTGGCAGAGGCAGAGATAGAAGCAGGCTCCCCTCTGAGCAGGGAGCCCGACATGGGGGTTGATCCCAGGACCCCGGGATCATGACCTGAGCTTAACCGACCGAGCCACCCAGCACCCCAGGAAGGACTTTTTTTGCCTCTGTTTGGCCCAGCTCTGTTTGCCTCTGCCCCTTTCCCTCCCTGCACACCTCCTTCACACTCAGCACCCTTGTCTAGGAGGGAGTGGAAGTAGCATCAGACGAAGAGCCCCAACACTGAGGGTCAGCCCTCTGTGAGCCGCCACTGCTCCCGATGGGCCTCTGTCTGTTTCTGAGGTGCCTCTCTTCTCCTCCTCCACAACATGGGAGGCCTGCCAAGTTCCTGAGGCCGTTGACACACCGTGGGGTTGTGTACCTGGAGTGTGTGGTCACGGGGCCCCCAGAGACTCCCCGGGCAGGAACCTCCTCGTCACCTCTGGTGCCCAGATGAAGGAGCTTCCCCTGTCCTTTGGCCTGATGGCTTAGCTGGCTCCTGCTGTCCACAGGGCGGGGCACTTCCTCCGTGGCCCCAGTGTGGGCCATGTCATTTTGTACATGGGTGGCTGCCCTCAGGCCATGGGCCACCTCCGTCCTGTCAGGACTCCCAGGGCACAGAGTACTTCCCTGTGGCCAGGTGCTTCCCCCTGGAGGCAGAGCGGCCCATCGGTGGCCTCTGTGGGGTCCAGTCCCTCTAGAGCTCAGCCAGGAAGGCCAGGAGGGGCCTGAAGGTCAGTCATGGCCCCCCACCCCAACACCTCCTGTAGATCCACGACTTTGCCCAGCTGAGTGAGAACACCTATCACGTCTACCACAACATTGAGGACCTGCTGGGGGAGCCCCACTCTGTTACCATCCGGGGCGAGGACGATGTGCTCGTGACCAAGGAGGTGTTCCAGCGGCCCCTCTTCCTGCAGCCCACCTACAGGTACTGAGCGCCAGTCCCACCTGGGGTCACCAGGTGACTAGGGCCACACAGGATGCCAGTGTGCTGGGCATGGGTGCTCTCTGGCCCTGCTCTCCAGCTGTGGCCTCAGTTTCACTGTGTGCAGGGTGGGCTAGTTCCCCACACCCTCTTCCCCCACAGGAATGCAGGGGTGAGGGGGGATGCCTGGGCTGTGCCTGATGGGTCTCTCCCCCTCGCCTGGCAGGTACCACCGCCTGCCCCTGCCAGAGCAAGGGGCCCCCCTGGAAGCCCAGTTTGATGCCTTTGTGAGTGTCCTCCGGGTAAGTCAGGGCAGGAGGGGCTGGTGGGAGCACAGAGTAGGGACAGCTGCCTGCAGAGTGGGTCTGGGTCTGGGCCCTGTCTCCATGGTGAAGCTCAGGGCAAGTGTGGCCTCTGGCTTTCCTCAGAGCAAAGTGTTGTGTAGGAGGTGGAATGTCCGTATCTCTGTGGGAGTGTGTATTTGTACATTCTCCGCTGCCAGAGCCCAGCGCTGACGGTCTGAAGGCCTGGGTTCTGGGCAGGCTCAGTTGTTAACTTGCTGTGTGATCTTTGGACAAATCACCTGTCTAGACACCAAGTTACTGGAGCTAAAAAATTCCTATCCGTAGACTCCTGGGCTGGTGTTTCCTGAGTGCGGGTGGTGTTTCTTTGCCAGCCCCTGCGGAAGAGCCACCTTATTTAATTTGTATTTCGGGGCTTGGGGGGTGTTAATACAAGCCTGTCCCCTCTGAGCAATCTCACTTCTCAGACCAACTCCTTGAGCTCCGCCAGGGCCTGGGAAGGAGGCAGGGCTGTGTTCCTTGGGGCGGGTAGGGCAGATTAGGCTTTGAAGTTTGGTAAGAGAGGCTGAGCCACCTGTCTAGGCACCCCCCCATCCTTGCCAAAGACTGCAGGGCACGGGTGGGCCCACGTCGTGATCCCCTCGACCTCCCCGGCTTGGTCCCAGCAGAGGGGTTTCCAGGTCACGCTGTTGCTGATGGTTCTGGTCTTTCCCAGGAAACCCCCAGCCTGCTGCTGCTCCGAGATGCCCACGGGCCCCCCCCTGCTCTCCTCTTCAGCTGCCAAACGGGCGTGGGCAGGACCAACCTGGGAATGACCCTGGGTACCCTCGTCCTGTTTCACCACAGCAGGGCTGCCTTGAGGCCCGAGTGAGTGTGGGGATGAGGAGTGGAGAGGGCAGGGCTGGAAGGAGTCTGGGGACATGGCAGGAGCCCAGGGCCGGCGCTGGGGGTGGGGCAGGTGGCATTCATCTCCTGGGTTGCCACAGACTTGCTGAGTGACGTGGAAAAAGTCACTTGACCTCTCTGGGCCTCAGTTTCCCCAGTGGGGAGCATGCCCCTTGCTTCCCCCAACCTGAATGGGAAGGAAGACTTGGACCCTGTAGTCCAGGGCTTCTCGGCAGCTGTGTGAATGGGAGCGTCAGTGTGGTGGGGGGACAGAGGTAGAGGCCTTTGGGGGCACTGCCTATGCTACTGACCCCTTCCTTGTCAGGGCTGTCCCCCTGCAGACCAAGCCACTGCCCCTGGAGCAGCTCCAGGTGATCCAGAGCTTTCTCCACATGGTGCCTCAGGGGAGGAAGATGGTGGAGGAGGTGAGCCAAGGGTCTGGGGGCGGGGGTCCTCGGTGGGCTTCGCTTCCTCCCCATCGCTGTCGCTGCCGCTTCTTGACAAACCTTTCTTCCCTTCCACCTCCCGCCATCCTCCCCCGGCCCTGCTCCCTCCCTGCTGCCCTCCTGCCCTGGTTGGGGCACCAGGTGGACAGAGCCCTCACTGCCTGCGCGGAGCTGCATGACCTGAAGGAGGTAGTCTTGGAACGCCAGAAGAAGCTGGAAGGCACCCGGCCAGAGGGCCCAGCCCAGGTGAGGCCCGGACCGTCTGGGGCTGCTGAGTCCTGCGACCTCATTCCGTGAGGCCTGCTGGCTGCTTTCTGTCCGACCGACTCTTCTGGTTGCTGCTTCTCCTGGAGGAGAGAGGTGTTCAGAGGAAGGGGAGATGCAGGAGCGAGGCCTGCAGGAAGGACAGGACAGGGAAGAGGGGAAGTTTACTTTCCCTGGCCGGGTCCCCTCGTTGCAGAATAAACAGGATGGAGGAAGGGGCTGCTGGCAGGGGTGCTGGGGGGCCTCTGGGTCCAGAGACTTCCCAGATCGCTCCTGGCTCCCCTCCTCCTGCCAATCAGTGCTTTGCTGTTGCTTTGGGTCGGCTGGGGTTTGGTCCAGCCCGCTGCGTCTGGAAGAGTGATGGGCTCTGGGCTGTCTCAGCGCCCTGTCCCTGCGCTCTGGGGAGAGGCGGTTGTCTTGACAGTGTTTGCGCATGACAGTGCATGGAAGGAATCTAAGGCCGGCAGAGACTTTTTCTTCTTTAACACTTAAAAAAAATAACTTTGAAAAGCAGTAGTGTGGTATGGAAAAATGAGAAATTGGAGAGGGAAGAAAGTCACCCATAATGCCAGCGTAGCTGCTGTGAGCATCCGGGGCTGGCTTCCTCCCACGTGCTTTGTGACGATCTTGTGTCGGGTGCTCCACGGCACGTTTGCGGCCTGCTGGTAGCCCTTCTCTTCAGCTTCCCGTGCCACCCCTGCTTTTGTCATGGCCATGCTTGCTGGCTCTGTGACGTCAGCCGTCGTTGGGCTGCTAGGTTAAGAGCATGGGCTCTGGCCTGACCACCTGGGGTCCGGTCCTGCCTCTGCCACCTATATAGGTGAGTGGACGTGGGCAACCTGCTTCACGGCTCTGTGCCTCAGTTTCCCCACTTGTAAAACAGGGCCAGTAACAGTAGCCACCCTGTAGAATTGCTGTGAGGATCAGCTGAGATATGAGCCATGAAGCCCTTCGATGGGAGCCTGGCACAGAGCAGGTGTCCTTGGAATGTCACCTGCCATGATTCACTCACTAATCACGGTTCCCTTGGATGGGCCTTGGACAGTTGAGTTGCTTCCAGTTTCTCATCTGTGTAAATTCCTTTGCCTCAAGATAATTTCATGAAAGCAAAGCTGTTTTATATTTAGGATTTTTTTTTTCTCTTAGCTAGATTAGAGGTTGACAAACTATGACCCATGGGCCAAATCCAGCCCAGTAAAGAAGTTTTCCTAGAACATGGCCTTGCCCATTCATTTCAGTCCCATCTGTGGCTCTCTCAGGCTGCAGTGGCAGAGTGAGGCAGGTACAGCAGAAACCCTGGAATATTTACTACCTGGCCTTTGAAAGAAGTAGAAGTTTGCCGAGCTCTAGCCTGGATTTCCAGTGATGGGGTTAAATGTAATCAAAGAGCATAACCTTCCTTTCAGGCCTATATGAGCCTCACTTGCCCTCCAGAAGGTGGTTGTGACCCCACAGGAGAACCCTGAGATGCGAAGGTGGAGAGAGGGAGCTTGGGATCCTCTCTGATGGCTCCTTACCCCCAGAGCACACTGGGCTGGGGTTAGGACATTTGTCTGGGGACCCAGCTCTCCTTGCCATCGTCACTTCATTTCTCAGAAGTGAAGGTGAAAATAATGGCCCCCTTGGAGCACCGTGAGGAGGGTCTTTTTGTTTCCTTGTGGTGGGGTCACAGTTCTGAGGGGGGGGGCCTCTGGCTCAGAGGTGGGTGTTTATAGACTTGCTTCCTCACCTTGATTATACAAGCGCACGACTTGGTGCACAGAGTGGGCGTGGAGGTGAGGGGGTCCCAGCCTGTCTCTGGGCTCAGAACCTGTGGGCGAGGCGGTCCCCAATCCGATAGCAGTAGTGCTGGGGTAGCCACCAACGCTTTCGCTGTGCCACAGACTAATCACAGCCAAGGGGATAGCGTGAGCCACTTGGGAGAATTTCCAGCCTCGCAGCACTGCGTTATGAAGGAGGGGTAGACTGTGTTCCGGGGGATTTCTGAGGCTTACCTCCCGCCGGTCCGGGGATGGGCACGGGGACGGGATGGGGATGGGGTGGTGCCAGGAGCCCTTTACCACCGGTGTCCCTCCCTGTCACCTCCTCGCAGGGCCGCAGCAGCCAGCACGGTGTCCGGCAGAGGGCACTGCAGAACCTGGAGCAATACTTTTACCTGATCCTGTTTAATTACTATCTGCATGAACAGGTGGGGCTGGGGGAAGGGGAGGGCCACAGCCATCCTCCTGGGGTCCCTCTGGCCTTGTCCCCCGTGGTGACTGGCATGGGGCTGCCGAGGTCCCCCGTGGAGTTGGGGAGGGGAGTGGGGACATCTGTGTTGGTTCCAGAGGAAGGTGGGTGTGGGGGGTGCGTGGAGAGACCCAGTTAGAGTGGTGGTCCCAGAGCCGTGGGTCGGGCCGAGGGAGCACCCAGCTCTCTCCCCCCTGGCCCCAGGCTCTGTACCCTTTGCCGGGGCTTTGGGGCCTGGAAAGATCTTGCTTCAGACCTCCTGGCCCTCTTTCCTCATCCCTGCCCTGGACCGTGATGGATGTCTCTGGGGGCTCCCCCGCCACAGGGCAGGCTGGGAGAGTTTGGGATGGCCTCGTGCCCCTGAACTCCCGTCTCTCTGCCTCGGGCTGCAGTACCCGCTGGCCTTTGCCCTCAGTTTCAGCCGCTGGCTGTGTGCCCATCCTGAGCTGTACCGCCTGCCTGTGACGCTGAACTCCGCGAGCCCCGTGGCCCCAGGGGACCTCATCACGAAGGGCTCTCTGGTGAGTGTGGCTGGCTGGCTGAGGGAGTGGGAATGGGTGTGGGCCCGGGGCTGGCGGGCCCTTGACGCCTGATGGGTCGGGTTAGGCATTGCCCTCCTTCACAGAAGGCAAAGGGGCGATGGCCTTTGGGGCGGCAGGATCTTCCTGTGAGTGATGTGGAGTTGATCTCAGGCCCTCAGGAGCGTTTGTAGCTTTGGCCACTGGTGTAGTCGCTCTCCTCATTCTCAAACCCGTGTGCTCTGGGCAAGGAGGCGGGAAGCCTGGTTCTGTTTTTTTTTTGTAAAGGTTTTATTTTTATTTATTCATGAAAGACACAGAGAGAGAGAGGCAGAGACACAGGCAGAGGGAGAAGCAGGCTCCATGCAGGGAGCCCGATGCGAGAATCGATCCCGACACCCCGGGGTTGTGACCTGAGCCCAAGGCAGACACTCAACCACAGAGCCACCCAGGTGCCCCGGGAGTCCTGGTTCTGATGTTTTTGTCACCAGCCTCTCATTTTTGAGCGCCGGGTTCCTTATCTGGAGAGTGGGCCCTGTCGCTTTTCTCCTCGCCAGCGCAGTGATGAAGTTGCAAGAGTGCAAGCGTAACTTTGTAAACTGTAAAGCGCCTCCTCTGCCCCACCTTGGGCCAGGCTCTGAACCTCAGTCAGCTGCTCTCCCCACAGGTGGCAGACGACCTTGTCTCCCCGGATGCACTCAGCACCATCAGAGAGATGGATGTGGCCAACTTTCGACGGGTGCCCCGCATGCCCATCTATGGCACGGCCCAGCCCAGCGCCAAGGTGACCACCCTAGGGGCCCTAGGTCCACTCGTAGGGTCGGGGCAGGGCTGGGGGGGAAGGCTGAGCCTGAGTGAGCCCTGTCACTCACTGATGGCCCTCCTGTCCCCCCCAGGCCCTGGGGAGTGTCCTGGCCTACCTGACTGATGCCAAGAGGAAGCTACGGCATGTTGTGTGGGTCAACCTGAGGGAGGAGGCCGTGCTGGAGTGTGATGGGCACACCCACAGCCTGCGGTGTCCTGGGCCCCCCATGGCCTCCGACCAGCTTGAGGTGAGGCACCCCCCCCGCCTTCTGCACATGCCTGCCTCAGAGGCCTTCTGGGAAACTGGCCTGGGAGGATCTTCAGAAGGTCCCATGCCCCTCTTGTAAGTTGGAGAAACTGAGGCTGCAAGAGGAGCAGACTCAGGGAGTGACCGAATCAGGACTCCCACTTTGGCTGTCTCCCTGGCTCTTGGTCGGACCCCTCAGGCTCAGGAAGGGGCAGGGGTGCACCCAGTAGCCAAGACTGGTCCTGGTCATGTCAGGCTCATGTCAGCCTGGCGGCTACCTCAGTGGCCTAAGCCCTCTGTCCCACCCTCCTCTAGCACCTGGAGTCCCAGCTGAAGGCCCACCTGAGCACGCCTCTCTCGGGCACTGGCAGTCCACCGACCCGCAGGTTCCAGACATGCCTGACCATGCAGGAGGTCTTCAGCCAGCACCGGGCTACCTACCCTGGCCTCACGTACCACCGCATCCCCGTGCCAGACTTCTGTGCGCCCTGCGAGAAGGTGAGGGGGCTGTGAAGGCCGGGCCTCTGGGGAGGGGGAGGAGGCCTTCTCCTGCTGTCCCCTGCTCTGGCCTGGGACTTGGTCCTGGGCACAGCTCCCCCGAGGGACTGGGAGCCTGTTCCACGAACCTTCTGATTCGACCGAGTGGTTATTCACAGCACTCCTAGCTTCGTGTCTGCAGGGCACGTATGCACCTGTGTGTTCATTACGTGTGGTAGGTGTGTGTGTGTGTGTGGGGGAAGCACGTCCCTGGTGTTTGTGTGAATGTGTGTTTGTTGGGGAAACATGTTTGGAGGGTGTGTGGGGTCCCTGTGGAGCGTGTACGTGTGTGTGGTGGGTGTACTGGTGTGGAGTCTGTGATGCACGTCTTGTCTTTACCAGGGGAGAGGTGCGTGGCTGGGGAACCGTGTGGTGTGGTGTGTGTGTGGAGGGAGCCGTGGAGTGCTTGCGTATGACCAAGGTCATTGGTGTGTTATGTGTGTGGTCTCTGTGGGAGTCTGGGCTGTTTGGGTGTCTCAAGGTCCATGGATACGTCCGTGGTGTGTGTGTCCTCACTTACGGCACGTGGGTCACCGTGTGCCTGTGTGATGCCTCCGTTGTTTGGGTGATGTGTCTACGCGGGTGTGGATCTGTGCGGGGCGCGTGTGGGGACTTGCCAGGTGCAGGGGTGATCCTCTGGTTGCCGGTTGTTTGTCTCCCCCTGGTGGACCCGTGCTGCAGCAATCGGCTGTGTGTGTGCACGTGTGTGTGTGTGTGTGTGTGTGTGTGTGTGTGTGTGTGGCCTTGGATCCCTCGCAGGCACCATCGCCACCAGGGGTCCCCTGGGGACACGGCACATGGGAGTGGCATACGCACGTTTTGTGTCCTGCCCGGTGGAGGGTGTCAGCGTGTGTGCGTGCGCGCTCATGTGTGTGACCGGGGCCTGGGGGCGGGTGACAGTCCACAGGCGCGTGACTTTACAAGCACGCGGTCTGGCGTGACCTGCGGGACTTGGGCCGTGAGCGTGACCCAGCTGGGGCCCTGGCCGGCCCAGGACAGCTGCGCTGGGGTTGCCGTTGGGAGCGGCAGGTGCGTGGGGGCCGCCCCGGGCGCCCGCTGCCCGACTCACACCCTGGTCTCCCCACCCAGGATTTTGACCGACTGCTCGAGGCTCTGCGGGCCGCCCTCGCCCTGGACGCGGGCACCGGCTTCGTGTTCAGCTGCCTCAGCGGCCAGGGCCGGACCACCACAGCCATGGTGGTGGCCGTGCTCACCTTCTGGCACATCCAGGTGTGTGTGGACAGGGCAGGGGGCACCTGGGCCCGGGACGCTGCTGGGACAGAGGTGGTGCACGGGGGAGGGCACGACCTGGACAGAGGTGCTCCCCGTCCCAGCCGCTGTCCTCCCTCAGGGCTTCCCCGAGGTGGACGAGGAGGAACTCGTGAGTGTGCCCGATGCCAAGTTCACCAAGGGCGAGTTTGAGGTGAGCGTGCCCCTTGGGGCCTTGCGGGGATAGCTGGGTGAGGGGAGAGGGCAAGTGTTGCTGCAGGTCTGGGGGGTCTTCAGAGCTCTTCTTACTCATATCACCATCTTCCTCCTTGTCCTCTGAGTGTTCCCCTGCTCCCATTTCACAGATGAGCAAACTGCAGCTGGGTGAGCGTGGCCCTGGACCCTGGCAGATGGCTATTGGAGAAGGGGGGGCTTGACTGACCCCCCTGCCTGGCCCTGCCCTTGGCTGCCCCTTGCCCTGGAGGAGGCCTCTGGCCACGTTTTGTCTGGGTAACGCTGACGACTGCCCAACAGGTGCCTGGGCCCCAGCTGTGGCTGGTGACCTTGATGTAGGGCCGTGGCGTGTCCCACTCCACCCTCATTTCAGTCCAGGGCACTGGATGGACGGCCACTGACACTTCCTGTACTATGCGCCTGCCACACGCCATCATCCCAGACACCCTGCAAGTGGGCGGCAGGGACCCTATCCTACGGCCGGGGGATGTGGAGCTCAGAGCTGGCATGTGGCTCTCTGGTGTCGAGGCCGTGGTCGGCTCCTGCCTAGATGGCTGGCCTCATCACATTCCCTTCCCCTGCTGTCCCTGCCGTCCTATCACCCTGGGACGGCACTCTGCACTCTCCCTCAACCTTGCCAAGCTTCCTCGGCTTCTTGGCCTTCGCATATGCTCTTCCCTCCCCTGAAACTCCTCTCTTCCTAATCCCCGCTGATTGGCTGATTCTTAGATTTTTATTTTTTAAATTGTGGTAAAATATGCATACCATGTAATTTACCATTTTAACCATTTTTTAAGTGTATGGTTCTGTGGCATTGAGTACGTTCACTTTGTCGTGCAACCGTTACCACCCTCCAGCCCTCCAGAACTTTCTCTTCATTGCAAACTGACCATACCCATAAAACAGTAACTCCTCATCCCTCCCTGCCCCCAGTCGCTGGTGACCACGGTTCTATTTTCTGCCACTATGGACTTGACCGTTCCACATACCTCATATAAGTAGAATCATACAGTATTTGTCCTTCTGCGTCTGGTTTATTTCACTCAGCATCATGTCCTCAGGATTCATCCATGTTGAGTGTCTATTAGAGTTCACTCCTTTGGAAGGCTGAATAAGACTCTGTTGTGTTGGACATACCACATTTTGTTTATCCACTCATCTGCCAGTGGACACTTGGGTTATTGTCACCTCCTGGCGATCGTGAATCATGCTGCTGTGAACACGGGAGTACACATGCCTGTTCAAATATCTCCTTGCACTTTTGGAAGTGGAATTGCTGGATCATATGATAATCTGCTTCATTTTTTAAAAAAGATTTTATTTATTTATTCATGAGAGACGCAGAGAGAGAGAGAGAGAGAGAGAGAGAGAGAGAGAGAGGGGCAGAGACATAGGCAGAAGGAGAAGCAGGCTCCATGCAGGGAGCCCGATGTGGGACTCGATCCCCGGACTGCGGGATCACGCCCTGGGCTGAAGGCGGGCACTAAACTGCTGAGCCACCCAGGGATCCCAAAATTTTAAAATATTATTATTATGTTTTCTGTTCAAGTTCTTTGCCCAGTTTTGATTTGGTTTTTTTGTTGTTGAGTTAGGGGAATTTTTATTTTTTTTTATTATTATTTTTATTTATTTATTTATTTTTTCCTGGTACTGATTTGGTGTTTTTTTTTTATATAAATTAATTTTTATTGGTGTTCAATTTACCAACATACAGAATAACACCCAGTGCTCATCCCGTCAAGTGTCCCCCTCCGTGCCCGTCACCCATTCACCCCCACCCCCCGCCCTCCTCCCCTTCCACCACCCCTAGTTCATTTCCCAGAGTTAGAAGTCTTTATGTTCTGTGTCCCTTTCTGATATCTCCCACACATTTCTTCTCCCTTCCCTTATATTCCCCTTCACTATTATTCATATTCCCCAAATGAGTGAGAACATACACTGTTTGTCCTTCTCCGATTGACTTACTTCACTCAGCATAATACCCTCCAGTTCCATCCACGTTGAAGCAAATGGTGGGTATTTGTCGTTTCTAATGGCTGAGGAATATTCCATTGTATACATAAACCACATCTTCTTTATCCATTCATCTTTCGATGGGCACCGAGGCTCCTTCCACAGTTTGGCTATTGTGGACATGGCTGCTAGAAACATCGGGGTGCAGGTGCCCCGGCGTTTCATTGCATCTGAATCTTCGGGGTAAATCCCTGAGTTAGGGGAATTTTTAAATGTATTCTGGAAATTGATGCCTTATTAGATAATGTGATTTGCAAATAATTCCATTCCTTCTGTTGGTTGCCTTTTTACACTGTGGATGGTGTCCTTTCTCTTGTTACCTTTCTGATGTCATATCCAAGAAGTCGTTGCCAAATGCAATGTCATAAGGTTTCCCTCTATTTTCTTCTGTAAGTTTTATGGTTTTAGCTCTGTGGTTAGATCTTTGATCTGGTTTGAGTTAAATTTGCATGTGAAGATCCAGTTTTCCCAGCACCACTTGTTGAAATGGGCCTTGAGGTGGCCTTTAGTGTGGGGTGAGCCTGTTGCTGGGATTGGGGGTCCAACCTACCCCCCACTTTTCTCTGTGCTCCTCGGGCCCCAGGTGGTGATGAAGGTAGTGCAGCTGCTGCCCGATGGGCACCGTGTGAAGAAGGAGGTAGATGCAGCCCTGGACACGGTCAGTGAGACCATGACGCCCATGCACTACCACCTGCGCGAAATCATCATCTGCACCTACCGCCAGGTGAGCCTTGCCCCTCCCCTAGTGCACAGCGAGCTTGTGGCTGACTGGATGTGAGGTGGCCAGGGGTCCCTCATCGGTTCTGTTACTTCTGCACCTTCTGGAAGTGATCTGTGAAATGGAAACACGCCCAGCCCCAACTCATCCTGGCTTGATTTGGGAGTGCTTGACGAGCTGCATGCTCTGGTGACAGTGATGTTCAGAGTGTTTGACAGCTGTGGCAGCCCTGGGACTGGCCAGCCATGTGGCCAGTCAGAATGAACACCCTGTCCTAGACTCCAGTGCTGCCCTGTGTTAACCCTTCAGTTTCTGGGTCATGGGGGTGCTGAGGGTCCCTGGAAGGAGTCATATTGGCCTTGGCCACTCCAAGGTCTTGGCAGGTGGCTGTTTAATGACCAGCAGGGCAGCCGTTCAGTGTTTTAATGGCTGATGATTGATCCATGCCTACCACTCAGGACCTACACGTATGTCTATGCTGCCTGGGGGCTGGCGCTGGCCCCCAGATTGACCTCTTCAGTTAAAAATTGTGTTTGGATAACTCATTCAATCATAAACATTAAAAGGTTTCCATAAAAGTACAAGTTTTATGTAAAAATCCAGAATTTCATCCTGTGTAGGAAAAAAAATGTGCCTTTCTGTTAGTCGTCAGCAGAGCACTGTCATACACAGCTCTCCTGGCCCCGTGATATGACCCTCTGGGAAAAGTTCACCCGCCCCCATTCCAGAGGCCAGGATGTTGCTGACCTCAGGGGTGGGAGGAGAGGGATCCCTGAACCCTGTGGGTCCAGCGCTCCCTGGTGGTGGGGGTGGCAGGTGGGGTGGGGGTGGAGCAGAAGCAAAATACAGTCATTCCTCAGTATGGCCACCAGGTGGCCTTAGTGAGCTGGGCCTGGGCCAAACTCTCAAAGAGGCTGAAGAGCAGAAGGCCTTCACTCTCTCTGCCTTTTTAACCCTGGTGGCACCCTAGTTTCACACAGGAGCTTTGAAACATAACCATGCCTGAGTTCTATCCCTAAAGACTTTGACTTAGTAGGTCTACTTGGGGGCTAAGGTGTGGGTCTTTTTTAAAAAGTTCCCTAGGTGATTGCAATGCAGGGTCAAAGTTGAGAACCATCTAGTTTAAGCAGGAGTCCCCAGCTGTGGTGAGTTTCAAGGTCACCTGGAGGGCCCCGTTGCTGGGCTCCAGGTCTGAGTTTCTGATTCCATAGGTCTGGATGTTGGGTGAGCTCTTAGATGACATGGATGCTCCTGGTGGGGGGCCATACTGGGGGATCTGTGCAGTCCTGTCTCACCCTCTTGCTGTCTTCTTAATAACAGCTTTATGCAAATAGAATTCACATACCATACAATCCAGTTATTTAAGGTATGCAAGTCAGTGGTTTTTAGTACATTCACAGAGCTGTGTGGCCGTCACCACAGCCAGATACAGAACATTTTCATCACCCCGTTTCCCCCTCCCCCAGGCCTAGGCAACCGTGCATCTACTTTCTGCCTCTATGGAATTGCCTATTCTGGACATTTCATAAAAATGGAATCATACAATATATGGTCCTTGTGATCAGCTTCTTTTACCTCAGTGTGATGTTTTCAAGTTACATCTGTGTTCTAGCAGGGATCATTATTTCACTCCTTTTTATGACCTGTATCCTGTTATATGGCTATATCACTTTCTGGTTTTGATGTCGTGCCTCATCTAAGGTCCTGAGAATTTACCTCTAAGAAGTAAGTAGTTTTCTTCTAAGAGTTTTATAGTGTAACTCTTGCATTTAGTCTTTGATTCATCTTGAGTTAATTTTTATATATGGTGTGAGGTAGAGATCCAACTTCATTCTCTTGCATGTAGATATCCGGTTGTCCCAGCACATGTGTTGAAAAGACTGTTCTTTCCTCATGGAGTTGTTTTGACACCTCTAAAAAAATCCGTTGACTGTAAATGTGAGGGTTTGTTTCTGAGATCTCAATCCTGTTCCATTGATCTATTTGTCTATTCTAGGCCAGTAGCATGCTGTCTTAATTACTGTGATATTGTAGTGAATTTTGAAATTAGGAAATGAGGTCTCCCAACTCTTTCTTTTTCAGAATTTATTTTGGCTATTCTGGGTCCCTTGTGTTTCCATATGAAATTTAGGATTAGCTTGCTAATTTCTGAAAGAAAAAAAAAAGCCAGCTGAGAGTTGATAGGTATTACATTGACTATGCAGATCAATTTAGGGAGTGTTGCCATCTTAACAATAGTTACTCTTTTTTTTTTTTTTTTTTACAATACTTACTCTTTTGATCCATGAACAGGAGATGTCTTGACATTTCCGTAGGTCTTCTTTACTTTTTTTTTTTTAAGATTTTATTTATTTATTCATGAGAGACAGAGAGAGAGAGAGACAGAGAGAGAGAGAGAGAGAGAGAGAAACAGAGACACAGGCAGAGGGAGAAGCAGGCTCCATGCCGGGAGCTTGATGCGGGACTCGATCCTGGGACTCCAGGATCACGCCCTGGGCCTAAGGCAGGCGCTAAACCGCTGAGCCACCCAGGGATCCCCTCTTCTTTACTTTTTTACAAGATATTTGAGAGTTGCCAAGTAAGTTTTATATTTCTTATGTTAAATTTATTCGTAAGCAGCTTACTGCTTTTGTGCTGTTGTAAATAGAGTTGATTTCTCAATTTAATTTTTTAGTTTGTTCATTGTTACCATTTAGAGATGCAATTGATATTTACATATTGATTTTCTATCTTGCAACCTTGTGATATTAATTCATTAGTTTTAATACTTTCTTTAGTGATTTTCTTAGAATTTCCTATTTATAAGATCATGTCATATGCAAATAGAGATAGTTTTGCTGTTTCCTCTCTAATTTGGATGCCTTTTATTTAATTTTCTTGCTTAATCACCCTAGCTAGATCCTCTAGTGGAATGTTAAGTAAAAGTAGCTAGCACAGATATCCTTGACTTGTTCCTGATCTTAAAGGCAAAGCCTTCAGCCTTTCACATTAAGTATGATATTAACTGTGGGTAGATGTTCTTTGTCAGCTTGAGAAAGTTCCTTTCCATTCTTAGTTTACTGAATTTTTTTTTTCTGTGAGGAGATGTTGAATATTGCCAAATGCCTCTTTATGTCTGTTGAGATGATTATATGGTTTTTGTCTGTTATTCTATTGATATGGTGTATTACTTTCATTGAATTTTGGGTGTTTTATTTTTTTAAAGATTTTATTAGTTTATTCAAGAGAGACAGAGATAGAGAGGCAGAGACACAGTCAGAGGGAGAAGCAGGGTCCATGTAGGGAGCCTGATGTGGACTCGATCCCAGAACCCTGGGATCACATCCTGAGCCAAAGGCAGACACTCAACCACTTGAGCCACCCAGGCGTCCCTGAATTTTGGGTGTTAAACCAACCTTGCATTTATCCGAGTGGGATAAATCCTACTTGGTCATGGTGTGTATCTTTTTACATTGCTAGATTCAGTTTGTTGAGGATTTTTACATCAGATTCTTAAGAGACCTTGCCCTGGTCTGTAGTTCTCTTTTTCCTTTGATATCTTTGGTGTGGTGTTAGGGTCTTGCTGGCCTCACAGAATGTGACTGGCTCACTTTTTTGCAGATGAAACCAAAACCTCTAGAGGAGAGAGGTCATCATTAAGTGCAATAGTCAGCTCAGGCTACCACAACAAAATACCGCCACCGCATAGCTTAAACAGCAGAAATTTATTTTCTCATATAGTGGGGGCTGGAAAGTCCAAGGCAAATGTTCTGACTGGCTTGGTTTCTAGTGAGTGCTGTCATCCTGCTTGCATATGGCCACCTTCTCACTGTGTCCTCTCAGGGCCTTTCCTCAGTGCCTATATGTGGACAGATAGTGGGGAGGGAGAGAAGGAAGGAAGGGGCCCTCTGGTATCTTTTCTTCTAAGGACACTAATCTTAGAAGTCTTGGAACTGCTGATAGAAAACAAAGAAAGAGGTAAAAGCAACCTTAAGCCCAGTAGTTGGGATGTCACAGGCCAGTTTTTAAAAAGGGGAAGGACCTTCCTAGCATTGCTAGTGTATAACCTTGTTCAGTGTGTCCATTTTAGAGAAAGGAAGGAAAGAAGGAAAGAAAGAAGCAAACATTTAAACACCTCACTACTAGGACACCTGGGTGGCTCAGTGGTTGAGCATCTGCCTTTGGCTCAAGGTGTGATCCTGGGGTCCTGGGATCAAGTCCCACATCGGGCTCCCCAGAGGAGCCTGCTTCTTCCTCTGTGTCTTTGCCTTTCTCTCTGTGTCTCTCATGAATGAATAATAAATAAAAGAAAGGATATCTTAGTACCAGAAAAGTAGAATGGACATTATCTCAGGATAGAGTCCTTGAGTAGATTAATGTTTCTAATCCCAACTACTGGCCTGCTCGGTGTGGGTGTGTGGACTCTGGGAATGGTTGGATTGTTGTGGGCTGACAAGCAGAAGGAATGCGGATGTGGGAGTTGGAGGACCCTGGGTTTGGACAGCAGTCTTCATCCTCTCTGACTGCCCGTGTCCCCACCTGCTAGGCTAGACCAGTACTGCTCCCGGGCAGGGCTGTGTGTGGGAAGGACATGAGGGACAGGAAGCATGGGGCTGGCCTATGACACATGTTAAACTAATGGGAGAACTCTGAGGGTCACTGTAGGCAGGGTCCTGTGATGTTCTCCATAGAGACCCTCAGATTTTGGTGCTCAAGGGCTTACTGGGCATTTGTCCCCTCTGTTTACAGAGGAGCCAGAGAGCTGGTTGTCTTGAGTCCCATGTGAGTTGCTATCAGAGCAGGGATGAGAGGCAACGATCCTCACTCCCAGCCCCAAACCTCTTCCCTGACCATGTCACCCTTTACCCGAGGGTCTTGATCCCTGTCGTCTGGTGGGTTGTGGGCCTCATTTCCTGAGGCTCCAGAAAGGCACCTGCTTTCCCTCCAGTGAACTGACTTCTTCTGAAATTGTCAGCTGTTTCTCGCCCTTGGTACCTGGCTATTTATTTAAACCCCTGCCCTCTAAC